ATCACAGGCATGCGGAGGCCCATGGCTCGGTCACCACGTTCGTGCCTGACTCACGCGGCCATCAGCTATGCCGATTCGCAGCCGGTCGCTCCGGACCCCCGCCACAGCGTGCGGATTATGGAGGTGTCCGGAAGAACGGGGGAGAGGTACAGTGAGAGTCACTGGGGGGGGGGGCATGAAAATCTATTAGAAACGCACAAAACGGCAAATAACATGTAGAGACAAGAATACACGCGAGGTTGAGGGGGTGGCTGCATGTCACCGGAGCCCACACGTGTCCCAACGCCCGGGGCCACATGACCGCCCCCCCGCCACGACACAGCAAAACTCCCCCCACGAAAAGCAGCCCACTCCTGCTGAGCCTTACTCAGCTCCTTAGTCACCGCGGCCAGGAGAGAGGTGGGCGTCCCTCACACTGCCATTTTCACCTCCCTTCCTCTCCATCCATCCATCCATCCATCCATCCATCTCTCCTATGTGAGACCTGTCCTATGAGCCTCAACTCACAGCTCAGACTTTGTCTGGAGGCATGAGGAGGCACACGGGGGTGGGTGGGGGCTAGGGGCAGATCACCTGCACACACCTACACACATACGCATGCATGTGCGCACACAGCCACAACATGCTCCTTGCAGGATGGGTCCCCCGATTCCTGATAACACTCCTCCTCTCCAACCAGCAGCATGACTCGGGGGTCCAAAAAATTTGCCTGTCAAAAATGCATCAAAACAATAATCTGCAGACTGAACTTCAAATGCAGGAAATGCTGGGCGTCTGCGTCACGTGCACTGGCTCCAACGAGAGCGTGCGAGGTGAGTGCACACACAGGACGGCTGGACGGTGTGCAAGGAGATCCCGACACAGGCCGCTAAGACAGACGGTCACACTCCCACGGCACCGCCCTGTCCTTCAGTGCAATTAAAAACGCACCAGATGACTACCGCAACAACTCGCAAACCCTCAAAAATCATTAATGAAAGTATTATTTAAAAGGACAAATAAAAAATGTATATACGACATATATACATGATATTGCAAAAATCAGAAGAAGCGAATGCATAATTTTATTTAAGCACCTTGTAATCTCATGCAGAAATTACGATAATTTAAAAACCGATCTACTGCAGTTTTTTAATTTAAGGGATTGTAAAAGATCAATTATAAGCACCTGTGCGTATAACGGAATGCGATCTGCAGTATTAAGCGGCGCAATGAAAAGCCCTGAATTACTTCAGGCTGCTGCTAGGTTTCTGTAAGGAACACTTGCTATCTGTTTTATTTCCTGCGGTTTTTCTATAGCCGAAATTCGGCTTGTGTGACTCCATCTAATAAGGTAACAGATGCGTATGTTTGACGTATGCATATTATGGACGCACGTATTTGTCTTAATTCAGAATCAGTTGAAGAACGAACAGGTGAACGAACGGTATAGTCTAAATATGCGCCCAGTTCCCTTTCGTAAGTCTTTATTTTCTGCAAAGAACCATAATTTCACATTTTTATAAACAACAAAATACAACTGTTGTCTGACTTCTCCAAATGCGCTTGTATAAAAATAATTTTATATCTCTGGCATATGGACATTACAGAGTTTTTGCACTGATCAAACTGAGAGCCACTTACAGCAGTAACTAATACAGATGTTGTTGCTGTTTTGTTATTGATGGCGATGTTATCCATTTACCCACGCTGATTTCAGAATTAAATAAATCCCCTGCTTTGCTGAACCGCAAAAAAAGACAATCTGGTGCTGGTGGGGCCGGCTGATTTAAGACAGACGCCAAGAGCTCTGCTCTCCAGCCCGCAAGTTTAAACAGGGGAACAATTTCGGCGACCGCACGGTGTTCGATCCTCAGGCGCCCTGTCACACTTCAGGCGACAGTAGTCTTGCTCGGAAAAATGTCCCGATTAGAGCACCGACACGGAAAGGGTGTCTCCCACATTAACCCAGGCAAACACATCCCGCCGGTGCTTCACCCCAGGCGCGGACTGAAGAGCGGTTGAAGCCCTAAACCGTGGCCGGCATATAGCGTATCTTTTGGGGTGATCAGTCTGTGGACGAGCCAAGACGAAACCGGCGGACAGTTTGCCTGGAAACTTCGATTAGCTGTACGTGTGTGTACGCTGATAGATGAGGCACAAAGTCATATTGGTTATTTTTTGTTTGTTTTTTTTTTTTGTTAAGCTGACATCCGGAAATTTCTTTGCTTAAAATCATCTAACCAAACCAATTTTTTTTTTAAATCTGTCATTTGCGCGTTTATCGCGGCAGTGCCTTTCCGTGATCAAAGACCATATGTTCATCTTATGGTTTTGCACCAATTTCTTGTTCACATGTAAAACACAGAACATCTGTTTGCTTTTTTTTTATCGTGAACGAAGTGCAACATTATAAGAGTGATATTGTATTTTTTCTCCGCGTTTCTGTAAAAAATTAAACAGAAATAATTATAAATTGTTGTTTGTTTTTTGTGGTACATTAAACTTAAAATATTTACAGTGAAAGGAAGCTGACGGGTTATTGTCTCATTGTCGGAAATAATGATTTTAGAGGTTTTTAAATGCAGTTTGTATCGGAATTCTGTTTGACTTCCTTTGGCACACTTAAGAAATAATGGTTTAGGTGTTTCAGGATTATATCGCAAACAAAATTTTCCGATGCTCCTCTCATTTTTAACATTTAAATACGAGCTTATAATATCGATATTTTTAAACATTCTTTCGTTGTGTAGGGCACACCCTAAACTAAATTAAAATGCAATAAAAAGCGTACATTTTGCGCACACTATAAAGTAAGAATAACAGGCCACAATTATGACGTATATTAAATGACATCTGTCTTGAGTTTGAAAGTAGTGCACCTTTTTGGTGTTAAAATAACCTTTTCATTAATTACGTTTTAAACGCTTCATCTTAAAGCACCATAACACTTCAATGCTTAATTATGACGTGACTGGTTTCTCTGTCTCCAAACACCGAAATCACCTGTGAATATATTATATATTGTCCCTACAATATGCTACTGTGAAAATAAATCGCTGACTTCTTTCGATTTTTTTCAGACTATTAAGCGTGCCTTTTGTTTTAGAATATTGCAGCAGGGACAGACATGTCACTTACACGACTTTATGGTGTCGTGCACTCCGATTAGGCTGCAGCTCAACTCTGTCCCCCGATCAAAAGGTCAGTGTACGAACAAGGGACGGCTAGGTCAGTATTTTTAGTAGATCGATCATTTAAAAAACTCATTTTAATTGTGGGACATGCATATATACCGTTCGTTTTTAATGTACTTTTCTATTTTTATTATGTTTATAATAATAAACATTTCATGGGAAAATCTATTCTTAGCTCGGTAAAGAGAAATAGTATAGATTCACGGCATTGACTCGCAAATAATCAGGCTTATAGACGTGCTGTATTATCAGACTAATCACCTGGACCGTCCTCAGTCATTAATGGAGAGGGGGGTGTGGGTTAGATGATACCTGATGGATCTCGGTTACAGCAAAACGATTTTCTGCGAATAAACGGTATAACAGCGACATCCCACTCATTCACGGACATGCAGTCAAATGCGACGCAAATATGAAATTCGGTGTTTCACGTGCTGATATTTTCTAGCATGTAATTCAGGGCAATTAATGGGGGGCAGGGGCAGGTGGTGCGGCATCAGCGGGGAGTGAGAGCT